CTTACTATTACTGGGATATTCCTGAAATATCATCTGGATATTGAAAGCATTGGAGGATCTTTTTTTGACCACGGTTGGAGTCAAAGTTGCCCCCCACCCAAAGTCTGCATCTGATTCTTATGAAATTGATGCAACAATGATTGATGTTAAGAAGTTGACATGAATGACCTTCTAAGTTTGAAGCAAATTTTGCCCCCCAGTTGGGAACCATGTTCTCACAGATGACCCAAGACTGTTGCGTCCTAGAGTATTCGCGACGGTAGAGAAATATAAAGTTTAATGTCTTAGCATTGTATGAAGATCCAGCACACAATCAGATAAGAGAGAGGGTCTAGCATTTATGAGACACAAGTATTTTTACGTGAAAAATCCTTGAAAAAGGGGAAAAATCACGGGGCCTAGCCAAGTTTGAATGAATCCACTAATATAGCAATTGATTACAAATGAGGCCCTTCCATGGGGGAAGGTCATAACTTGATGTACATCTTATAGAGTACATTACATGATGTGAATACAAAGAATCATTATTGACATATTGGTTTGGTCGAAAGGACCGTAGTCGATGGGCGATGTATGTCAGAAGGACTGTAGTCGGCAGGTGACGTAAGTCGGCATGATCGTAGTCGGCGGGCGACAGAGGTCGAAGGGAATGTAGTCGGTGGGCGACATAAGTCGACAAGACCGTAGTCAGCGAGCGAAAGAGGTCGGAAGGACTGTAGTCGGTTGGCGACGTAAGTTGACAACACTATAGTCGACGGGCGACAGAGGTCGGAAGAACAGTAGTAGGCGGGCGGCGGAGATTAGAAGGACTGTGTTAGGTAGAAGTCCAGTAATGGATAGAAATCCACCATCGAATAAATGTCCGACGAAAATCTAATGACGGACAGAAGTCCGGCGTCAGGTTGAAATCTGAAGATGAGCGGAGGTCCGGGGTCGGGTAGAAGTCCGACGTCAGTCGGCGGTCGGGGAAAACTCCGACATTAGATGGTATTTATACAAAACTCCAGAGTTACTTGGAGATTAGGCGGAATTCCAGCATCGGATAGAAATTTGGCGACGAGCAGAATTCCGGCGTCCCGTGGAAGTCGGACAGAATCCCGGCGGTGGTCGAGGAGGAATTTCTTCGCTCCTAATCTTTTCTTCTTCCTTCTCTTCTTCTCTTCTTCTTGCTTTGCTCCTTGATTGGGCCCCCTCTCAAGAGAAATGAGGGGACTATTTATAGATTTCTGGAGTTGCATGACCTATAAATAGATGAGAGATCAAGGGTAAACAGGGAGTGGTTGGATGGACGGCCAATATTGAATCCATCGATCCTGTGCTGTTCGTCGGACATTTGAAGGTCTTAATGATGTCGGAATTCGGCGATATTGGGCTCGTTGGATTCATCTTGTCGAGCCGCTTGATTCGACTAAAAGCACGTTATATTTGGAAACCGTTTGGTAACTCAAATTGTGGTACGAACTTTTCAACAGCGCTTCGGGTTCTTGATTTGAACTCATTTGGGCACGGATTGAGTCAAATTTGGTGTCGTTGGGTTCTTATTTCCGAGGCGTTCAGTGAAATTGAAGTTCAGGTGATCCAAGATTTAATTTTTGAAGTTTCAGGCTTGATTTTAGCCTCGAGCTTCGTGCCCGTTAAAAGATAATTTTTTTATGATATATCAGATCGGAAGCAAGAACGGTAGCTCGCTGCGTGTGAAGGTAACTTTCTCCTTTTGGCGCGCTTCTTCGGCTAAATCCCGTTAAATCCGCCGAACCGAGAGATGTAGTAAATCCGTTGGCTGGACTTAAATCCCACGATAAATCCGATACCAAACAGCCCCTAAAGAATTTCTTCTCGTCCTTCGACGTCGGATCGGAAATCACGACGAAAGGCCTTCCTCCGACTCTTGTTGATCACTGCCATCGACACCTTCTTTTTCTCCGTCGGGAGTCGCTACTTTGCTCGATGGAGAATAACAACTGGCGGCCCGCCCAGGGAGAGACTCCCTCCATGGAAGTCCCTTCCTCCGACTGGAGGTCCCAACTCCAACCCGAAGCGAGGCAAAGGATCGTTAATAAGATGTAAGACCAATTTTTTCTCTCTTTACTTCGTTCCTGATCGTTATCCATTTATCCATCGCCCTGATTAGGTTTTACCTAGCTCATGTTGGTTGAACAGAGCGTTAAGGCAGTTCTGGTGTCTATACCCCGGGGATAGATTTTAATGATATGAGGAGCATGATTACCTGTTAGGCTGTTATATACATAATTCATATCCTGAATCAAGGGTTGGTTTTTTTTTTTTTTTTCCTTTACTCCTCGGATTGGTGCGTGGCAGAATGAATGCGGCAAATTCATAAAAAAGCTCGCAGGTGCCTGTGAGAATATTCTGATACTTTATGTTTTAATTCTCAAGAAAGAATTTTGTTGCTCTCAAAAAGAAGCAGTCTTGAAATGTAACACAATACAGATAAACTTGCCAACCTTTTAAATGACTGCAACATCTATTACTAGATTCTCAATTGTTTACAGTATGGCTTATATATTTCATTCTTTTCTTTTTTCTTTTCTGTTGCTAGAATGGACACTCTAAGGAGGCATCTTCCTGTGGCTGCTCCTGAGGGGATGACTGAACTCAAGAAAATTGCAGTACGATTTGAAGAAAAGATTTATGCTGCTGCTGTCAATCAGGTGCATGCATTTTTTGTATAACAGAGAATTCCAATGTCTTCTGATTGATTTTACATAAATTGGCATCCATATAACAAATGTCCTGAAAGATTAGGACTGCTTTTGGTTGGTGAAGAAGGGTCAACTAGGTCAATATACCTTGCACCAACTGGAATTTGATAATTAATTGCATCAATTTTCATGTTAGTGCAACCTTTCAGAGTGTTTTCCCACTGTGCACAACTATTGAGGAAATCAATCATTATGTTTTCGGGTAGAAAATGTTATAAGTAGCACTTTCAAGAAAGATGTTTCATAACTTAATGTTTTATTTGGTTTGGATTCTAAGTGGAGAATGGTAGTGCGTTGGTGTTGGGTTTTAAATTATGTTTTATCTTTGATACTATATTGTAAAAAAATAATTTACATTTTTTCTACTATTGTCTTTCCCTTCAGTACTTATTTTCTCATTTTTCACTCTTTTTATGAATTTAGTCAGATTATCTAAGAAAGATTTCAATAAAAATGCTATCTATGGAGACAAAGACCCAACAAAATGCTCCAATGAACCCTCAGCCTGGCGTTAACCAAAATTCTACAGACACAGGTAACAAAATTTTAAGATAAATTTCCCAATAATGAATGATAAACTCGGTTTTTTTTTTGTCTACTACTAGAAGCATTATAAATGAAATTTTTGTTTCAGCTTATATGATTTGTATTGGCTTTTTACCGCTTCCTTAAAAACTTGCATATTTGTTATTCGTGATGATTCAAAATACCCTTAATTTATGGTATTGTTTATGGATCGGATAATGATATAAAATTGTTTATCATGTTTTAAAATGTTTTATGTTTTATTAGAACAACTAGTGATTTTGGAATTCTTTGTTTTTAAAGTGAAGATCATTTTCACTGTTAATTTATTCAAGATAAGTGTTAAATTTCAAATTAGTCCCCCGACTATTCATATATGGTCATTTTAGTCGCAGAGTATAACGTTGCTCCAATTTTGTGGCTCGACTATAGAAAATTGATCCAAATAGTCCCTTTGGGATTAAATTGGGATCAATTTGATATTACAATTACAACTTGAGGGACTATTTTGGATTAATTCTCTATGATCGAGGGAGTATATTGGGCAACATGTTACTTTGAGACAAAATCATTCATGCACCAATAGTCTGGATACTATATTGAGATTTTTCTGTAAATTTAATTATGTACTAATTTTGTGGTTGTGGAGCTTACCCTATTGCCACTTGATAATCAAATGAAGCGCTTATGTTCTGACTAACTGAGGGCTATTTGATTTAAACTTTAAGCCTTTCTTTCTTTTTAATTCATACAAATTATATAAAACTCTAAGAAACAGATGCATTTCAGGGTTGTTTTCCGCCATGTTTTCATTTTATTGATTTTTATGTTCTCCCATTTCTTTTGATGGTGGATTATATGGTCTATGCATGGTTTTTATAATGTACCGACCCATAGAAGTATTGATTTTGACCTCTTTTTAATGGCTGTTGAATCATTATACTTCATATAGCGTGTTTTTATGGTTATTCCAAAAGTGGTTGACAAGAAATTTTGTAAAATTCAACTATTAGACTTGCTGAATTTATAATTTTCTAATATGATGAGAAAAAAATGTGAGTGAAAAATAATCTAAAAAGAAAAGAGCTAAAGGGCAGAATTGTATTTATCATGATCAGTGGCGATTTGCTGTACTTGAAGAAGCTTTCAATATCTACATCAATCCATATGAAAGTTGATGATGATGTGTGAAAATTCATTAATCCAAGGGCTTTTTTTTAATGGTTGAATGAAAAATTTGCTTTCCGGAAAAATGAAACCATCTTAGAAAGTGAAAATGCAGTTTTTCGTGCTTGTTTATACCATGATGGAATGATTCTAGTCTTACAACTTATGTTTTTTGAAAGCGTAGCAAATTTATTGGTTGTCATGAAAGTACCATGATAGAATGATTGCAGTCTTATAACTTTTTTTTTTTTTTTGAAAGTGTAGCAAATTTATTGGTTGTCATGAAAGGGAGTGTAGAAGTCAAGTTTTTAAAACACAACTGGCATTCTTTCAAGTGTGAGGATAAGAGCTTCTATCTTTCTGTAAGGATAGTGGTCTCTCTGTTTGTTGGATCTCACCTTTGTTGGCGTTCTGTTGAGGATAGTGGTCTCTCTGTTTGTTGGATCTCACACATATCTATGCGTTATTTTTAAATTTTTTTTTTGCAGGAGTTAATTTTATTGATAAAGTCGTTGCAATTTTTTATTGCCATATTGACAGTCATCTCACAAAATTGTGTTTTATGCATGTTTTGCTCTTTAATAGGATCGCTAGCCATTCCACCACATGTGAACAGTCAAGGACAACCACTGCCACAGATTCCTCTAGTGGGTCCACCTTCAGGAAGGCAGCAGCTTTTACCTCAAAACCTGCAAAATAACACTCCTGCTTCCATGCAAGGTTCTTCTAGTCTTTCTGCAGCACCTTCTATTACGGGGCTTTCTCAGTCAACCATAACAAACTTTGGTCATACATCTAATATGCAAAACATGCCAGGGATCTCACACAGTTCTGTAAATAATTCTTTAGCACAGGGAACAACAGCAGATATTTATGCCAATGCGCCGAGGCATATGCAAGGAAGGCAGCAGCAACAATCACAAAATCCACTTATATACCAAAATTCGCTTCAACCGCAATTAATGAAGAAGATACACAATAATGCAGTTCTGCAACGATCTATGCAGCAGCAACAACAACAACAATCTTTGTTGCAAACAAATCAACTGCAAACTTCTCAGCAGTCCACAATGCAAATGCCATCTGGTCTAACATCTGGCCAGTCCTCTATTCAGCAGCCACCAGCGACATCCATTCAATCTGCTTCCCAGCCGGACCTTCAACAGAATCAGCTGAACGCAATTCAACAATCGGTATCACCCTTACTCCCACAACATGTGCAAGCGTTTTCTAGACAATCACAGCAACCACAGTCTTCTCTTCACCAGCAAACAAATTTGCAAACCCAGCAGCAGCAGCAGCAGCAACAACAGTTGATAGGACAACAAGCAAACATGTCAAACATTCAACAAAATCAATTACTTGGTCAGCAAAACAGTATAGTTGACATAAAGCAGCAACAACAAAGATTGCCCGTCCAGCAAAATAATCTTATCAACATGCAGCAGTCTCAACAGTTACTCAATCAGCAATCATTGTCTTTGCATCAGCAGCAGTTAGGTCAGCAAACTAACATGCAGGGTCTCCAGCAGCAGCAACAACCGCAATCCCAGCAGCAACAACAGTTACTTGGTTCAGTACAGAACATTTCGAATATGCAGTCACATCAACGTTCAATGCAGCTTCTTCAACAGTCTAAAAATATGTCACAGGCACAACAGCAGTTGCAGCAACCTTCTATCTCACTGTTGCAACCACAAGGTCAACAAACACTTCATCTGTCATCACAGCAGCACTTGATGCCACAATTTCAGCCTCAAGGACAATTGCAGCAGCCATTGGCAATGCAACAACAATCAAATGGTGGCATGCAAAGGGAGATACAGCAAAGGATTTCTTCAGGCACATTGCTTCAGCCTCAGAGTGCACTGGAGCAGCAGAAGCAATTCATGCAGTCACAAAGGGGGATTCCTGAAGTCTCATCCAGCAGTAAGTCATTGCATGCGATGCATTTTTATAAGAATTTGACACACGATTCCTTCATTTTTGTTGATACAATCTAAAAAAACATTAGGATTTCAAAGTAAAGTCTTTCTTTCCTTAAAACATAGACAAACACATAGAACAAGACAATACTATTATATCCCATAATAACTTAAACAAACAGAACCACACCTTACAACTTCAAATAAAAAAACACAACACCCTATAACTTCAAACATAAAAAAAGACACAATAACACCATACGACTAATCAAAGCTTCGAGAAGAAAGATACATGTGGAATGAGAACTATGGAGAGAAGAAGAAGATAGAAGTCTAAGAGAAAGTTTTAGAAGATAGGGAGGTAGAGGAAAATTGCTCGCAAGCTATACAAACCCGCATGTTTCACTTTCCAAAAATTCTTCACAATTCATTCTCTATTTTTCTCCAAAGGAAATCAACCACCTTATATAGGAGAAGATAAAGAAAAAAAGTATTAAATGCTCTCTTTAACGAGCCACCCAAATCAGCCAATAGAATAAACCCAAAACAACTTACTAATGAGAAATTAAAACACTTTATCATAGGAATCAACAAGGAACACACACGAACAACCAACATATGGAAAAATGGGAGAACAACATGAGAGAAATAAATATCTAGCATAGGAAAAAGCAGGACAACAACATGGGAAAATAAACAGCTAGCATAAGGAAGGCCAGCGACAGGGAAAAACAGACCCAACATGGGGAAAACCAACAGCCAAAATATGGGAAAATTGAAAGGCTAACAACAGGAAAACTAAAAGCCAACAGGGAAAACGAGGAATTAGAAAGGGAAATTGAGAAGTCATGCAAGAAAACTAATAGATGGCAGGTATTTATTGCCACATTTGTTGTGTTAGAACAAACATCCCTTGAATCCCTCACATATAACTATTTATTTTTAAAGAGCATAAAACATTGAATGGTTTTTAGATCAACCGGCAAATTTGAGATAATTATTTTCTTTCTTTGTATGAGAATGTTTGATCAATTTGCTTCACTGACTGATTTACCATTGCCGATAATAGTTTGTTTTAAAAGGTTGAGATTGATATTAGACTACTTATTAAAAATTCCATACCAAATTCATGAATTATATACAAAATTCATAAATTGAATAATTTGAATTAATGAATTCTAATTATATTTTTCTAATGCTAAGGAGTTCCCCAGAAACAGCATTCAACCTCCAATCTCAATTGTGTTGATGAGTAAGATTTGTTTAGGATGTCATTTACAAGTAGCACCATAACTTATCCTGCATGTGGGGAGCGGTAGGCATAAGTTGTTTAGGATTTAACTTATAAGTGATACATTACAATTTAGCTCAATTACAATAAAAACTAAATAAGGATTAACCTAAACTAAAAGATTATACTTATAATATAATACTTGGTGACTTTAAATAGAAATGTTAGAAAATTGTTCAACCATTAGAAAAGGTTTAATAATTTATATTTGAAAAAAAAAAGAGAAGGGAAATAATTGAAAGATACTTAGAAACATTATATGTTGGGAAGATTAATAAATGAACGAGGTAGGGATTGTTGTGGAATGTGGATAGGTATAACTTAAATATAAAAGTATTTAGGGTGAAATTATAGTTGAGTATGCTAAGAATATGGTTAGTGTTTATGCTCTTTCAAGTTAGTTTGCATGATCATTTGAGGAATTAATTTCCAGAAGAAATGTATGAACTACTATAATATGTAAATATATATATATATATATATATATATATATATACATACATACATATAAAGAAATTTAATAAGAGGAAAATGAATTTAATCATAAATTTTTATATAGATTAATGCAAAAGGTAAAGTTCAAATATGTGAATGAAGAAAACAAGTTTGTCATTGGGAAGGTGTTTTGATGCCCAAAAAGATGAGGGAGAGAGTGAGTCTTTGATTCTTGTTACTTCCCGAATCTCTTTAGGGATGATGGAGGAGGAATGGAAAGGGAGGAAACCTGCATGAGTGAGGATTGTTATCAAGAGGTGGTTTGTGTGGCTCAAGAAAGGGAACATGCATCTCTTTAGGGATAAGGGAGGAGAAATTATGCGAATAATGGAGGTTTACGTATTTCAACTTTGTAGTTTATGTCTATGATGAATTGAAGGAAGGATGCATTAGAAAATGTGAGAAATGTACATTTCATTAGTCGTCCATCTGTAAACTTGGAGGGTTTCAACGGACAAAGGGAGAAGATCTTGTATTAGGAGACGAGCCCCCTCTTTACCTGAGTTCAATTTCAATATTCTCTTGATCTTTTACGAACTCTTAATTTATTCATGTCCAAGAGAATGATTCTTTTTGGTTGTCTTAAAAAGTCATTATAATCAACTAAAGAGATGCATAGTTCTTTTTGTTCTTTAGTAATAAGTGTTTAGGTATGAGAACACATATTGTCTCTTGATAAGTAACTAAAATGTTTTATTTTGGTTGGCTCAGAAGTGGGCAATAATATGTTTAATCTAATGTCAATAATTTTGATGGGCTTCATGCACATATTGATAGGAGGCATTGAGATTATTGGGGAGACTTCAAAAGCATTGATGAGATTCAACTCATCCTATAGTTAAGGTTGCTCGTTGGGGAAGCAAAAGTTTGACGTGGATCTGACACAAGCATGATGATACACAATTTTCTTGAGATTGTCCTAACGATCCATTTTTTATGTCAATTTCCAACGGGTGGTGTTGTTATCAATAGAGGCATTAAGATATGAGCGTGATATCTTGACTTATAGGGAGGTGCTAATAACATCTCTAATTTTTTACCCGTTTGGATCACCTTAAACAGTCGCTCTTTTCTCGAGGGAGCTATTGGGTTCAATGTAAGAGCAAGATCTAGGCATCATTCATCCACCTTAGGGATGAAACATTGTGAAGCTTTAGACAACATCATAGATGGAGGCATTGAGGGTGGATGTGACAACTTGCTGTTTCCTGTTCTAAGTTGAGGGCCCAAGTATTATTGAAGGAGTGGCTACAAATATGGATGTCATCTTTGTAGATTTGGGGGTTAAGTTCTGGAGGCTGACAGACCTACACATAGATATAGGATCTATATGAAAAGTTAGATCCATAATGATTTTGGTGGCCTAGTTGGAGGAGCATAGTTTGCCCTTAATATTAATGTTAATTAAGTTTGCCCAAAAAATTGAGGGAAAATTGAAGTCAATGTTGATTTGATTGCTAAGGTTAGGCTTAATAAACTAAATCAAGAACCAATCAATCTCTAATTCTTAAGCTTATGTTTTAATCATACATTTTAAGTACTCTATTTCATTTAATAAATTTGTTATTATCTTCCATAATTAATTCGATAAGGCTTATTAGCTAAAGCAGGCTAAATCGTACTTGGATTTATCTTGATGACATGCATAGAACTTAGTGTTAAAAACTTACACATCTCTCCAACATTTATGATGATTATGCTCACGCAATATCCATGTCTCATAATAGCCTTCATGTATGATCTCCACTACTATGTTCTCACAATTGTACGCTATCTCCTTTGTTAAAATCTCATTAAATACTCACATTTTTTTACTATTGCTCTTTTTTTTTTCTCTTGGCCTCGCTCTAATCTCTAGAGAGTCATTGTGCTTTTTCTAATATATGGCTCACGCACTCTCTCTCATCAATAAACCTGCCTTAAATTATCGCAACTACCGATTTTGCAGCTCTGCTACATTACTACAACATTTCAAGCTCTTTCATGCTATACAGTGTCCACTTCCTTATTTCTTTTGGTACTTGCCTAGGAATACCACGTTGTTGAGCGCATTGTTTCTTTGCATACACACTTGTGATCTCCCAAGCTAGCATACTCTCATTGATTGATGATATGCTTATCCCTTTCAACTCCTAGCTTGGTGCCTGTTCCATCACACTTGCATGTGACTAACACTGCAATTCCCGCATTCCTCTGCACAGACGTTGCTCGCCTTCCCAAGTTCTTTGTAGTTGCTCCTTAGCTTCTATGCTTTATGTGATCACTAGCCCACTCATGAGTCAAGGAACCCAAAATTATTATGTCATGAACTCTCAGTTGACTAAACTTTTCTTGAGCACATGCATAATTTTGATCTTCTTTCTAGTAACAAATCCTTGACACACACATGCAACTAGGCCCTCCTTAACTATCTACGAGTCTTGTGATTGCTTACCATTATATGACTTGGAGTCATGTTTGATATTTGACTAGATGAAGTCTATGGAGGTAGGGTAGGGAGCGCCCATATTATGTGTTTCTTCGAGGGAGGGTCTAATTGAATTTGGCGCTGAAGAGTTGCATCAAGTTTGTCAAAGTTCTTGGTTGGCCATTCCATTATAAGGTTAGCAACTACACTATGGAGTGAATAATTTGGAGTTCATTTTGTAGGGATTTAACTTATAAAGCCTAATTTTGAATTCATTATATGTTGAGTTGTCTAAAATTATTATTTTACTTGTTTATATGGTGTTCTTGTTGTCTTTGTATGGTACTTGTGCTATGACTTTCCATTCATGCATTTGGATGTTTCTTTTTAAATGACAGGGCTTTTGTTATTGAGTTATATTGAGTAAGATGATGGGTAATAAGTCATAAAGCAGAAGAGTTGTTACAAAAAAGTAATGACTGTTGATCTATCAATCTTGAAGTTAAAGAGGGCTGATGAATGTGGTGCCTTTGGTTAGCGAGGAAATTGCTAAAGGGGCAATGAGAGAGGCAACTGATGTTTCCTCGTTGACTTATGAGGATGAAGATTAAGGTGACGGTTACGGTTTTGTGACTTTTGTCTAGTGACAGGGACCACACTACATAGTTGAGAAAATCTACAAAAGCTGATTATGACATTTTACCTGGCACGATGGTCATGATGGTCCTTATTTTCACGGGGATGAGATGATGATTTAACTTTTGATGTGATGTCTTTTAACCAAAAATTTCTTTTTAAATTTAGGTGTGTT